GTCCCTTTTTTTTTTTTTTTTTTTTTAATCAAATAAAACCTCAGTGACTACTAAAATGTGAATTCAATGTTAGGATTCCCTGCAAAAGGATTAGAAAGTATTCCCTTATACTGCTGAAGAAGACTATGCTTCCCCTGAAGTCTTAAATCTTTGAAAAAGAGTTAAACTAACCTTAAATTATACAAATTACAGTATTTGTCTAAAATATTGATAAAATATATAGTTGAGTTGTATGTGTAACCAAAACCATTATATGTTGAGTGTTTGTATCAGCTGTTACTTTAGCAACCTAAAGTCTATTAACACATAGCTATTAATAAAACTTTTTCTAAATATTAGAAGAGAAATTACTTGTCTGAATGATGTATAGTAACTTTTCATCAAAGTGCAGTAACAACCTTGGCTGAGAACTCTTGTCATCTTTAGCGCTTACATTATCCATGTTGAAGTTTACCTCAGATGGAAAAAAAAGTTCAGAGTCTGTTCTCCCTTTTCCTTAACAGATGTAGTCCGGTTGAGTTGTATGTATATATTAGTAATTTTTTGAAAAGGTTATCTGTAGTTCCTATTTTCTTTGTGGAATTGGTGTATTCTACACATAAGTTTTGAGCTACACCAAAGAGATGTCTGAATTATGAAATAGCTGTTGAGTTATTTTAGCATGCTAAGTACTTGATGCAATACATAAAAGGCCATAATGTGCAGTGATTTGTCGGCGGTGGTTAGTGTTTGTATGCAGTGATCAGCATAAATGGTGCTTATAGAACTGCTTCCTCCCCTTCTCACAGCTTTCCCATTCAAAATTGGGTGAGTGCCAGTTTATTCAGAGCTTAAAGCTAAACATGGACCAAAGTTGATTTTTGGAAGTGCTGTATGGGCAGGTGTGTTGAAGATTATGTGGTCTTGGGAATCTGAGCAGGTTTTCTTTATTTTTTTTTTTCTTCCCCTCATCATTCCAAAGTTACTTATACCAGGCAGGTGCAGTAAGGTAAAATGAACAATGTTTGACAACTGTGCAGCGGTGCTATTTGAGTTGAACATTTACTTCATAGTAAGCTGGCTGTTCTGTTTTATCTTGAGGAAGGTAGACTCCTCACTGAAGGGGAAGAGTCTGCAGTGCAAGTCATAGTAAGAAGTACATATCTGTTTTAATAAAACGCTTGTAGAAAATTTTGTGCAGATTCAATAGTTTAATTGAAGCAACACTGTGTTCTTTCTCAATTTCTGCTCTTTAATTAAAGATAGGTTTAAAAAAAGTAATGCTGCAGTTTGACTAAATTATTTTCATGTATTCACATAGGATTCAGTTTTCATAAGCGATCTGTGTTTGCTTTAATCATTGACTTCCAGTTTAATGTCAGTGGAGAAAAAGTTAATCTGGCGATGAGGATTGTGTTTAAAAAAAAAAAATCCCTCCGTCTTTATTATGAGTAATTCTTGCATCTACAATGCATGGCTTCTTGCCAAGACCCCTGCCTCCTCTCTTCCTTTCTCTCCACCACTCTTTAGTGTTTTCAGTTGGTATTCTTTCTAGAAACTCATAATTTGCTTTCTTGGAAAATTCCTGTATCACATCCTCTTCACTAAAACTGAAGTTCACTCTTTACCCCCCATCTTTATTATGAGTAATTCTTGCATCTACAATGCATGGCTTCTTGCCAAGACCCCTGCCTCCTCTCTTCCTTTCTCTCCACCACTCTTTAGTGTTTTCAGTTGGTATTCTTTCTAGAAACTCATAATTTGCTTTCTTGGAAAATTCCTGTATCACATCCTCTTCACTAAAACTGAAGTTCACTCTTTAATAGTAGCATGAGGTAACGTGTGTACTGTGGACTGGTACTTGTTATACTACTACCCGTGCTTCTTGTAGTGTAAGACAAGATATGATGTCTAGGCCATCTCTTCACTACTTCCTGACTAAACTGCTTGATCAGATGTGTGACTATACTGGATTCACCTAGTCACTAAGGTTTTTATTTGGCATATACTAAATGTCTTTTTAGCCTTTGCAAGATGCGGAGCATCGTGTATAACGAATTCTATTTCATAGAGGTAATGGCACACAGAGGCAGACCTAATTTAGTTGAGTGAAATCACTTCAAAAAATGCTCAGATGCAACGGGAAAATAGAATTAACTTGACTTGATTTTAGACAAATTTCTATTTTATCTGTATGCGGTCAGTTCATCTTACCTCTGTCTTCTGAAATGTCCCGTAGGATGGATGATAGCCTTATGTTTGTGTTCAGTCTGTTGTTTCTTGCTATATAACTCAAAAGAAAATATTTTCCTATGACACTTATCCCAGCTGTCTTTAGCTGCAAAATTCATACTACTCTGAACTTGTTGAAAGAGTATGTCTATAAACCTTCTGTTCCTAGTTTGAAGCATGGTGTATGTTCTTGAGAGCTTCCTTTTCTTCTGCCAAAAAGAAACACAAAAGTGTTTGCACAGGTGTCAGAAACAAATGAAGAAAAACTGGTTTGTTGATTCTCATAGTGAGTCTGAATAAATATAGTTGTTCCTTCTCCTCCCCCGTGCTCTGCACTGTGTAAGTTTGTGCAGTGGGTAGGCAGCTTGATGTTCAGATAGGCTAATTGCAGGGGGGAGGCAGTATGGTGAAAAATGACTACAACTGGCTTCAAAGACTCGTTTTGAGGATTATGACATGCAGAAAAGAAGAAAGAATGCTGCAAATGGACAGTTTACATTTATTACTAATATTTTAGCAATAGAAAAGAATGGATACATTAGAAACAAAACAAATTAACTGGAAAAACTTTTGTAGGGTGAGTTTTAAATATCCCCCTGCCTGCTAGGTGCGTGCTTCTACTGAAAAGCCTTAGCAATGCCTGTATTAATTTCGATATCTTGTAGTACAAAACAAAAGGAGAATAGTTAATAGACTGTTGATAGTTAACTTTCAAACCATGGTATTGACTGAAGACTCAAAGCAGTAAAACTTTCAGATTGGATCCAATTCAGCTGAGACGGAAATTGCTCTGCCTTCCTCCAATTCACTTACCCACAACCAGTTTACTACTTAAGGGTGTGAAAAGTAGTACTTCTATTAAAAATTGGAAATGCTATATGGCAGTAGACTTGCTGTATGGCATTTTGGCTAGAAAGAAGCTTGTTCTGCTCACGTGCTGGAGTACAAGCAGGCAGAGATAAATCCCATGTTCTCGCACAGAACATCTTGTGTAGGTGGAGGGGGAAAAAAAAACTTGAGCTAATAACCAGAAGTATTTTCTTTCTTTGGGGCAGTGATGATTCAGATTCAACGTTGCTTTAAAAATGTTTCAGTTGTAGTATTATTTTGAACAAGGTTTCTTCTTTTAGGGGACAATTTTTTAATGATGTTACTAATCTGCATCAGACACCGAAGAAAACGTTTTGTTGTGTGGCTGGGGTTTTCAGTCTTCATAGCAGTTTCCAAACACTGACAGACACAGGTGATCAGTTAAAATATCAGATGAAGTCTTCAGATGAATCTTGAGAAACAGGTAACGTACAGGCTATGTGTCCGAAGGAGTATGAACCAAGGCTAGAATTTAAGGTCCTTCTTGCTCCTGATCCTGAATACAGCAGATCTCTAGCTTGGTCTCCTTTGTTCCTCACCCACCCCTCTTCCTAGGTTTTAAACCTACCTATATGCCAAAATTGCCCTGATGTAATTAAGTGTTGTTTAATGATTCTGAAATACCTTTGTGGTTACATGTTATTTTTTAGAAACATAAAGTAGATATCTACAAAGAGACCTTAGTCAGTCCTAAACTGTTACTTCTGAAACACAGATTTGTTAAAGCAATCCAATTCAGTCTTGTCAGAGAAACTTTAAAATACATGCCAAATGCTTGTATGATAATCTGCTCCATCTCAAATGTTCAAAAAAAGCTGCAATAGTTTTATAAAAAAGGAAAAAAAAAAAAAAACAAAACACCACAACCAACCCATACTTTCTTCCTGTCTTGGTGCCCTTTCTTTAAGGGATTTTACTTCAAATAGTCCTGCGAGTGTGAAAGTAGGAGTTAAAAATCAGAAAAATGGGGTGTTTCCACTAGGTTACGTGACTTATCCAATGTCTTGATTGAGGTTTGAGGAAAGACTAGAGGTTTAACTGCTTTTGCACCTCCTAAAGTCTTGGCAATTTTGAAGCAGCTGTGAAAATAGAATTGACTCAGTTCTAATTAAAAATCCATGAAATAAAATGGAATCTTAGAAGGATTTTAGGTGCAGGAAGATAACCTGCACCTCCTGTACTGAAATGATGTGTAACCATGCTTGTAGCAGACCAAACCAATGACGTTTTGTGATTATGATCTGTTTGCCCCTTGGGAATATCTCGTATTTTTATTTTCCCTGAAAGCATTCAATATGACTGTATTTTCAGATGTACTCTCTGAACAGTGTTAAATAGAAATACTACCGCACTTGAGAATGTTGTTCTGTTTTACTACAATAATTGTCTTAGAACCGACTGTGAGGGAATTGTTGAGTGGTACAGAACTAATTGGACTGAGTTTTGTATCGTTCTCTTTTCTTTCTACAGGAGATCCATGTACAGTTTCTTCTCAGCTGGAGTTAGAAGAGGCCTTTCGGTTGTATGAACTAAACAAGGATTCAGAACTTCTAATTCATGGTATGGTGAAATTTACTATATTACTTCTCATGTTTGTACCTGTGAATAAGTGGAATTTTTACCTTGCATTATCTGTGTCTTTTGCACAGCCTCCTCAGTTAAAGCCTGTTGCGGCATTCTGCCAAGAGGATGCTAAAGACCATGCACTGCGCTTTTTAGCTGTCAGCACTTTGTCAATGTTCTTTATTAAATCAAGGGAGGAAAAAATACTTTGCTGTTAGTTTATTAATGAAAGACAGCCCCTGTCTCTCTCATTCATTCATCCCAAGTGCCTTTGTACGCTTGCTGGCAACGAATGGTAGAAGATACATAGTACAGTGTCCTACACTTTGTTATTGATAAGTGCTTTAGAGCAGCATCTATATTAGGAAAAAAAGTTGATGAGCTCCATTTGTGATGCCAGATTAATCAGAAGTTTGACTTTTCTAAAAGTAAGTACTTTAGATCAGTTTTGAACAGAATAATATTGTGCCCCTGTTTTGATGTATAATTGTTCAATTTTTATTTTTCAGGGTTATATGCCTATTTTGGTAGCTTCTGCAGTATATTTTTCTTACTGTTTGTAACTTTTTACAAGTAGAAGATAGATTTCAGTTTAACAGATTATAGCAGAAAAGCAGGGAATCATTGTAAAGAGTGTTAGTGGGTGTGTTACACTACAGTGTCTTAACATGGTCTTTCTCTAAAAGGATGCAAAAAATCTAGTTCACCATCAGCTCATTTGGAAGGAAGAGACAGCTTTTCAGCTTCCCACAAAGACTTTTAAAAAGTGGAAGAAAAATGTAATCTGTTTATATATATATTTTTTTTTTTTTTCACTGTTTCTGTATATTTTACTTCAGTATGCTTTTTGATCTGCCCTTTCTCCATTTATTTTTGTGTTTGATAAGCTTCTGATTAAACCAGCACCAGGGCTATCTCTCCCCAGTTATACTGCTCTCTGACAGTTACTGAAGCTAGGTAAACTAAAAAAAAAAGGCTAATGTAGACAAGATAATACGTAGCTGTTAGGACACTAATATAATACGTTTATAGTCAAGACTTACAAATACTGACTGTGATGATTGGTCATGTGAGAAACCAGAATCGTTACTTTTTTCTAGTTACTTTCTTTAGGAAATAACTTGGTTTATTCTGCTTTTTGCTCGTATTTCTTATGTGTATCGTTGTTATGTCCAGAAAAAGGATTTTGGGGCAGCTTTTCAGCTCACCTGCTCTTGCACAAGGTTTTGTGAAAATGCAGTCTGTGCTGTCTTCCTAAATGGTTGAATGCCTTTCAGAGTGGTGTATTTAACCCAAGGATTTATTTTTATTTCAGACAGAAAATTAATCAGAAGTTAATGTTTTTCTTGCAGTATTTCCTTGTGTACCAGAACGGCCTGGCATGCCTTGTCCGGGAGAAGATAGTAAGTAGGCATTTTAGTTAAGAAGTACAGAAAATCAGGAATTCAGATTTCATGTTCTAGAAGATTTTGATATTCTATGGTTTGGCATCCTACACTTATGAGTATTAATAAAGCAGACCTCTACAAATTAAATATTTAAAAGGAATAGAAAGTCTTGCTGAACATAAATGTTGTTTTGTCACTTCTGAATCACGTTAATAAGCATTCCACATTCCTGTTAACTATCCACGTCACTCTGCTTTCCTTGCTTTTGCCTCTTCTATCGTGACAGGTTTTTATCCTATTCCTGTCTTTTTGGTAGTTGCCAGATTGCTGGCTGACTGATGTGAACAAGGGCTTGTAACCAATGGTAATGACTTCTTGTATCACCATTTAGAGATCTGTGGTTAATTCATTTTAAGTTGATGTTTAGGTACTATCAGGAGTATTCTCTGAAAACCTCTAAGTTATGTTAGCTAATGTACTAGACATTAGAGAGGTAGTTTTCCCTCTGTCTTAAAGTTTTATAAAAGAGCATGTGTATGTTATGCACACACACGTCTGTCAGCTTGATATCCAGGTCTGACAAATGTAAATGTGCATGCTTAAAAGTTAACTTTGGCAATATGGATAATGCCACTTTTCTGAAAACATGAGGTTGCGGACTGAATCAGAAATAGATTTGCACCTTAGTGTAGTTTTGTATGTTCTAGTTTTCAATTTTGGTTCCTGACATGCCTCTAGTAATAAAAAAAAAACAAAAACAAAAAACCAAACAGTGGCAGCTGTGGATCTAACACGCTGGAGGATTTGTGCAAGCAACCTTATAAATCAGGGCATGCTCCTGATATTCACCTTCTTTCCTCCTTCCCCTTCCCCACAGCTCCTCCCCAAGTTTAGGTAAGGTAGGTGCATACTTTGCACACAAGTGTTTGTACTGTTTAGGCAGTTTTCCCTCTCTTGACTCACTGTTCCTTTTAACTTTGGAAAAACAGAATTAACTTTGAGTTGATCGGGATATTCTCCTTCAAGTTTTCTCCAAAACTTAAAAAGTGAAAAAGATACTTGGAACATTACGCTGTGTTTCTGTAAGGTGCAGGAGTGAAACTTTACTCTGCAAATCACTCTACACAGAAACGTCCATGAGAAGATGTTGTAGTTCTGTGTTTATATTTTTATGGATATAATTGTATGTTTTTCCTCTTAGAATCCATTTATCGCCGAGGCGCCCGCCGGTGGCGAAAGCTCTATTGTGCAAATGGTCACACTTTCCAAGCCAAACGATTTAACAGGGTGAGATTCTTGTTGGGAACTTAAAACCATGATACAGGGATGTCTTACATTTGTAACTACAATGCCACTGCCTTGAAAAATCATAAGGTAGTTTTATACTCATTTTTGTTGTTTGTCTATAGTATGTGGACTTTTGGTAGCCCTGTAGTTTCAGGAAACTCAATCATTATTAAATTATCAGGAACTTAGAATAGGAAAAAAAAATAAATTGGTTGCAATTCACTTTACATATACTCTGAAACCATGATATCAATTACATAAAAGCTCCTGTGTTCTCTTAAAATCTTCCCAGAGGGCAAACTTGAACACTGACATTAGACGACTGTGAGCTGAAAGTACATTTTCAGTTCTTCAAGTTCTGGGAGTAAAAAGTCTGAACTCGCTTACGATGCACAGACTTTTCTTTCATGACTCTTAAACTAAAAACTGAGATGTTTCTCCAGACAGCCTGCTTATGATGGCATGTAATCAACTGAAAATAACAAACCATTTGTAATATTTTCAAGAAGCAATGGTCAAATATAATTAGCTAAGGAACAAGAAGGCTACCTGCTGTATTTAGAAAAAGCAACAGCAGAAAAACAAACCCAAAATATTTGAATAAGCCAGGTTCCTTGACAGCTTCAATAATCTTTCCTTCTTTTCTAAGCTTAGTGTATTGTGTGCTTAATGCTTGAGATTGTCTCCACTAAACTTCATCTTGAACATCCTTCATATCTAACTTTGCCTTTTTTTTTTTTACCTCTTCCTGGTCAAAGGCTGTCAAGGCACCATAGCTTCATCACTTCTCACTCTTGCTTTCGTAGGCACCCTGTTTTCATGGATCTTTTGAGTTGTTTTGTGAATGTCCTTCAGTGAGTGGTGATCTTCCCATTTCCTGTTATCTGGTGGTTTAATGTGTCAAAGCTTTTGTTCTCCTGCCTTCCTCTGTACAAATGTAAGGACTCATCTACACAGAGAGATGATGAGACACATAGCAAATTAGCTTGGTCACAGCAGCCTGCTGATTTGGCTGCAATGCTTTTTACCTGGAGTTGGCTCATGTCTCTCTCTGTGTGTGCAGCAGAAGAGGCTGGCTGTGCCTTCACCTTTCCGTGTAGATGCACACTTTCTGTACGGCAGTTGCTGCTTATTGTTCAGTTCTAATTTTTTATATCCTCTGTATCGTATCTGCCTGTTCGTTCTTAAAGTTTTCAGATAGAGACTCTTGGTATAGTGGCAAGTTCGGTAGGGATCTCTCTGATCTCCTATTCTGTGTTCTTTGTTAATGAAAATGTGGCTGAAAAGTTTTTGTTTCGTTTTGCTCTTTAATCGGTTTTGTTGATTTGTCATTCTAGAGAGCTCATTGTGCCATCTGCACTGACCGAATATGGGGCCTGGGTCGCCAGGGATATAAATGCATCAATTGCAAACTCCTTGTTCACAAGAAGTGTCACAAACTTGTCAGTATTGAATGTGGCCGTCATACACTACAACCAGTAAGTAAAACTTATCTGAAAAGTTGTCTTTAAAAACCAACAACTGACCAATCAAACAAAAAAGCCCGTTTTATACTAATGGCTTTCAGACTACAGTCTGCAAGTAATCACAGTAGATGAAACATCATTCTTTAATGGTTACTGTGACACTTTGCAAGAAAGTTTGGGAATCACTTAGCAGAATGGCAATTTAGTGGCAAGACAGTCATCTAACTTTCACATCTGATATTTTTTTCCTGTGTCAAATATAAGTTATATTTATCTCATCTTTCACTATATTGTTACATAGCACATACACACACACTGTTTTGCATCTTCAAAGTGAGGTACAGGTAAAGTAAATTCTCTAAACATCTCTTAGATTATTAGACTATTTCCCATTTCACAGAAGAGGAAGATGAAGTGCAGAAGTTTTGACTTTTCACCCAAGAAATTCAATCATTTTTAGTTCTTAAGTGCCCAGAAAAATTTACATGATTACTGTTCCTGGTTTAATATTAAAAGCAGACAGCTATGGGTCTACATTTTGTTAATTCATTTGGCTAATGTATGTACTGCTGAAGTACTTGAGCTTTTCTGTCTCATTTCTCATCTGCTATAATTCTTTTCTCTGTTGTACTAAGCTGTCACTTCAGCAGCTTCTGGAAATGTGTAATAACTTCCAGAAAATAGGTAAAGTAAGGACTGCAGTGGTTTCTTCTATTGTGTATGGATTAGAGCAGTAACTATGTTGACTAATCCAGTTAAAAAGTAGCTAGATTATATTCCTCAGGGATTATTTTAGAGACAATAAATGAAATAAATGATGTCTCTCTCACTTGGACAGTCTATTACAAAAATCCTGTGCATATTTGCAGGAACCAATAATGCCTATGGATCCATCATCAGTGCATCCAGATAACGTAGAATCGGGTAAGATCAATAATTTTTTTCTTTAAATTACTGTAAGTGGCTGAAACATGAACTTTGGGTTTTTAAATGAAACAGAATAACTTTAAATTATTTTAGAAACCTTCTTTACTGTTGTTCACAAAACATGAAAATTAAGACAGCTTCTTAATGCTAAGGGGGATATAAATATAAAAATTCCTCAGTTTTCCATATCTTATCAGTTTAAGAAATTTGGCTAAAAAGGAAGAATTTAGCCTGTCAGTAAAACATGAAAGACAGCTTCTTAATGCTAAGGGGGATATAAATATAAAAATTCCTCAGTTTTCCATATCTTATCAGTTTAAGAAATTTGGCTAAAAAGGAAGAATTTAGCCTGTCAGTTACACTTTTTCATCAGTAAGCTGTGTACTTTAAATGCCCTGATCAAACAAACAAAAAAAAACACCTTAGAAGAATTAGCAGGGTTTCTACTGGATCAGTAGCCGAACAAGTTCATTCTTGTAGCAGTCAGAATGATGGTCCTAACAATTGAGTTTAAATATAGACAATGATCAGGTTAAATACCAAACAAACCACTGTTCTGCACAAGATTCTCTGTGTGTGGAGTCAAGATTAATCTGGGGAGATCTCCAAATATAATCACAGGGTTTTATATTAGCCATAACTGACTATTAATGCAGTATTGGAAAAGAATGATTCTGATGGTTTAAAAAAAAAAAACGAAAAAAAAACAAACCACCAAACCCAACAGTATTGAATACTTACAATAGATGCATTTAAATTGTGTACCTCTCTGAGCTCTTGTGTGTGGAAATTTTAAGACAAAAGAAAATACTGTTGTGTCGCATCGGTCTAATAATTTTTCTTGCACCTCTAGTGATTCCGTACAATCCCTCAAGTCATGAGAGCTTGGACCATGTTGGTGAAGAAAAAGAGGTAAAGTACCGTAACCATGCTAACTGTATTCAGAGATCTTAAAGCCTTTGTCTCTCTCAGTTTCAAGATTTTAGTAATTTAACTTGTCACAAACTGAAAACTAGTACATAAAGCACATTTGGGTTGCTCACTCAGGTGTATGCATGTGCGGCTTGCAAGCTGTTTTATTTTGAACTTGAGTCGAGATGTGCTTTGATTTAGAAAGTATAGATGTGCTTTGACTTAGAAAGTATTCCAAACTCCTCCAGGTTCATTTGTTTCTTCTGCCAAGTCTCCTCTGCCTCCTTCCTTTCCCCTTACATTCCTTTCCAGGACAGTGCAGTTTTAAGAAAAACAAGTATTAATTGAATCAGTTGTTTATATTAATTTTGCTGTTCTGTTTGAAATGCTAACTTTTGCAGTTGTTAAAATTGGCAAGCCTGCTTACTAATTTCAAATTATCTTTATGAAAAGGCAATGAGCGTTAGAGAAAGTGGCAAAGCTTCTTCCAGTCTGGGTCTTCAGGATTTTGATTTGCTCCGAGTTATAGGAAGAGGCAGTTATGCTAAAGTACTGCTTGTTCGATTGAAGAAAACTGAACGCATTTATGCAATGAAAGTAGTGAAGAAAGAGCTCGTCAATGATGATGAGGTAGGCAAGCTTTTTATCAATAAATCAGGCAACTCTTCCAAAGAGCTTCAGTATCTGCCACAAGGTGGGAGCCAGGCTTCTGGGTCTGCAACACTAATTGAAAATTATACATGCAGTTTCTTGTGCATACTATACTATAGAAGGTTGACAAGACAGATAACCAGTTTTGAGGTCTTCATTGGCGGACTGGTAGCTCACAGCCACCCTCCTGTGCCAGTGGTTTCTGTCATGAGCCTCATTGCCTCTGTTGTCAGTGTCTCCTGTGATCAGGACTCTCTGCAGCAGTACTCCTGCAGAATTCAAGTTAATAAGCCTGGCTTGCTTCGTTTTTTTGGAGCAGTATTCCATATCTCTCCTATTATGTTGGCTTGCTGGGCTGAAAAAGAAATGGGTGGAGTCTGGTTTTCATATGTCTGGTTTTTTTGTCACAAATGAGAACTCACAATGTTACTTTAATTGCTCTTTAAATCAGAGCCCCATCTTAACAATTTGTTTGTAGCTTATACAGTGATTAGTGGAAACTAACCAAAATTGCAGTATTAAACTGCTAAACACCTCTTGTTGCTGAAGATTTCCCTTATGTTTTTTCAGGCTACTCTGAAAAGACTCGAGTAAGTGTAGCTTGCTATCCAAGAGCTTTTGCATTTATTTCTTGGTCTACCATTGATTTCTTCTGCATTTCTTGATGCTACTTTACATTTGTCTGTACCAGTTTATCTTTTATAGATACCTGTGTGTTAATTTCCAAGTGTAGTTACACAATGAGGCTAAAAGTATGGGACCTCAAGACAGGGAAAAAAATGAGTATGCTGAATTGTATTACTTCCAATTGGAGAACTATATAATATTTAATTTCTTGCAAGTAAAATGAGGACGGCAAAACACTTGAATAACTTTCTGCTAATTGTCATTAATACTTGACCTAAGAAGAGCGACAATCCTTTTCTGAATGTTGTTTTCTTGAATAAATAGGATATTGATTGGGTTCAGACAGAGAAACACGTCTTTGAACAGGCTTCAAATCATCCCTTTCTTGTCGGACTACACTCTTGCTTCCAGACAGAAAGCAGGTAAAGGTCATAAGACAATAAGAAAATAGTTGTGTTCAAAAAATACTTCATACTGTTAGGTACAGCAACGGCCTATTTAAAGCATTAAGTGTTAGGTAGGTAGCGAAAGTCGATGTACTGTAAATCATTGAAGCATTTTATGAGCAAAAGGCCATGTTCATCATCTAAGCTTTTCAGATTGGGAAGATGCAAAAGAATGTAAAATACTGGTAGGTATGATGGGAATGATTCTGGACAGGAAGAGAGGTGCAGCTAGCAGAAAAAAAGGCTTAAGAATATGAGGTAGAAGACAATGGGGGGGGGAGAAATCAGAAGTACAAAAAATGAGGAAATTTATCTCAAACTTGCATGGATTCTCTGAAGACGAGTCTCTGAGCAAGACTCAGAAAATAGTATCTGAATTTTAAAAAGGAAAATAGGGTGATAGAGATGAAAACTACTATTTTTCTGTGTGTTTATATATAGGAGAAGAGATTGCAATAGATGAATAAATTACTATTCTATACAGTAATAATTTTCAGTATATATAAAATACAGTTATTGTATATTTAAACAACATCCTTGCTGTTTGAAACGGTGATAAGCTAGTGGAGGGAAGTGAGAAGAAAGAGTATTTGTAATATACTAATAGTATTAACCACAAACAAAGGAGATTAAAGGGATCAGGAAGGAAAATGAGAATTTTTTTCTGGTTTATGCATAGAAACTGATGTGAATCTATTTATATAGTCACATATGTAATAATGACAAGCAGTAGCTGTAATGGATTAGAAATGTGGGAAGGATTGCTTACTTTCCTTTAGCAGTAAAGGAATTATCTAGAGAAACTTCTTATACTTCATTTTTTAACTCTGGAAATTTATTCAAAGGGAGGGAAAATGGTGAAATCAGCCATATTACCAGAGAGATGGGAGGAGTTGAATTGACATTGTTTGGTAACAGACCTGTAACATCTCAAACATCTTTCAGCCTTGTATACAATCATTTGTAACAAATTCCTGTGTGTTTCAGGTTATTTTTTGTTATAGAGTATGTAAATGGAGGAGATCTAATGTTTCATATGCAGAGGCAGAGAAAGCTGCCAGAGGAGCATGCCAGGTATGTCTAATTTCAGATTTCTTGCATCAAGACAGTTGGTTTTTCTGACACAGTGCAGTAGTGCAGAGATTATGATGATGAGCTAGCAAATCCTCTCCAGATGTTAAGGATTTAAGAAATGTGAAACTGCATCCTCATTTAAATGCTGCAAGCTACCATATTCAAGGAGGAACTGTAATAGGAAGCACTTAGGTATTGTTTATATTAGCGTTACCCTAGATGACTTCAGTCAGATTCTGATTTTTTTTTTTCTAGAATAACACTTTTGTGGTATTTTTTTAACTGTCTAATGATATCAGTGTGTTTCTCTTACAATAACCACTACCAGCTGTCCAGGCAAATGCTGAGTTCTTGGTGCATGTGATTCATATCAGATGGTGATATGAAAGGGATGATTTCAGTAGATATTAATAGTAACTAAAAATAATTTTTCAAGTGACTGTGGATAGAAATTTTTGTATGATTATAAACAACTTCCCCACTTCTCTGATGAAAAATAATAGAATACATAGGATTATATTTAGAGAAGTATCCTACTAGCAAGACTGTATTACTGTGGTTTGGGTTTCGATTACTTGAGTAATCAATATCTCTTTCTACACTAGGTTTTATTCTGCTGAAATCAGTCTAGCATTGAACTATTTACATGAACGAGGGATAATCTACAGAGATTTAAAACTGGATAATGTGCTACTAGATTCTGAAGGGCATATTAAACTCACAGATTATGGCATGTGCAAGGTAAGCTCTAGTTCCTTGCTAACCAGTAAAATCAACAATTAAGAAATTGTCATAAATTAAAAGATACAGAGACTTAAATGTGAAATTTCAAGGTATTCATTTATACACAGTGCAGATAGGCTGTATACTCATTTCACTGTGAAAAAAGAAAGAAAAAGAAATGCCAAATTGCACAATATGCATAAACATACTGTTTATGTTTTTATAAAGCTGCTGAATCAATCTGACTGCGAGGGGTAGGCTGAAATAGTCAAGATAGCTTGATTTCAGAAAGAGCAAGAGGTTGAAATATCAGTCACACTTGGTCCCATTTGGATTCTATGACACTTCCCATTTTCTCTAGAAAAACTTTGTCACTACAAAGACACTGGAGCACAGGTTTGACTTTGCCATGGAATTGCCATTATGCTGATCTATTAGAACCATTTTAAATGCTATAATTTTGGCTAAGCAACTGAAAAGCATAAAAAAATACAGGTTGGAAAGGGCCTCAGGGAGTCTAATCCACCCTCCTGCTTGATCAAAGCAGGGTAAGCCATAAGATCAGGCCAGGTTACTAAGGGTTTTATTCAGTTTGGTTTTGAAAAGTTCAAAGGATGAAGACTGCACAACTTCTCCAGGCAACCTCCCCCCATTCTGCATCCCATGCTCTTCTCTGAAAAGCTTGTATCTTTTCATTGCAACACCCCGGGGAATGTAAGCTATTCCACCATGCCTCGGTTATTCCCACTTACCTATTGTTGGAGATGTGGTAGAGCTTACTAGCTAAAACCTTAAAAGACGTTGTCGTCAGTAGGTATGTGTCATCCTCTTGAGACTCTAGATGCGACCTACTTCTGTTTCTTCTGAAAAAAGTAGTGTTTTATATTCACTTACATACAGATTTAAATACAGTTTTACTAAAATGAAAGCAGTTTATTCAGGACACTTAAATTAATTCAAAATGAAGTTCTTAGCAGAGGGGGAGTGTGGGATCTTTGGCTAACTGTATTTTCTTTCCATCTTTTCTTAAAGGAGGGCCTGAGGCCTGGTGACACAACCAGCACGTTCTGTGGGACTCCAAACTATATTGCACCTGAAATTCTCCGGGGAGAGGATTATGGTAAATTGAATTTTTCACTGCTACCATACAACTTTCACTTGTCTCTTCTTACTCAAGTATTTTAGCAGTAGAAAGTATAAATCTCCATTAGACACACGATCAGTCTTAATTCAGCATCCTGTCTGAAAAAGTGAATAAACCCTTCAAAGGAAGGGCAGAAAACATCACACCAAGCAAATTAGATACCCTGCCTTCCACATTTTAAATTCTTTTTATCAGTCTTGAAGAATAGCTCGAGCCTTCCAAATTTATTATTGTTTATAACTATTTTAGATACTACTAATGATATACTTGCAGTCTTGAATTGTGTTTGGTTTTGGAGCTTTATATTTGGCAGCAATGATAGTATTAGATATAAATGCATTGCAAAGGGCCTAGATAGTAGACATCCCTTTCACAAATCTCAGTGTTAAAAATGAAATTGTCTATGCAATTGCTTGTTCAGGAAGTCCACAAGATTCTTGAAGCAAGAGACATAAGAGAGTATAGAAGGCTTGCTGTGTGTGTTTCCTGTTACATATCCTTTCTTCCTAAGCTTTGTGTTTCCTGTTGCTTATCCTTTCTTCCTAAGCTTCCAATACTGTGCCAAGCAGATCTTTGCTCTGTTTTCTTCCCTTAAGATTTTAACAAGTTCTACAATTAGTTCCTATTTAAAAAAAAAAAAGTGTGTATATATATATATATATTTTTTTTTAAATCTACCATCTTATTTTAATTGAATATCTCTTTCAGACTGGCTTCACATCTTCCTTCCTTATCACAAACTTTCTAGGCCAACCAGACTATATCAGTCCCAGCCTAGCTATTGGAATCTTTTTTCTTTAGCAGTGAATAGTAGAATAGATATGCTTAGCTCCATAAATGACTGTCTTGCTACTATTAAGAATCACATACTTCCTCCTTGTCCTTATCCCCAACCGTGGATAATGCACTGTTGGTTAGGAATGACTAGGCTTAAATATTATCTAAACCTGTGTTAAGGTCATAACACCAACCTTTAAACTTTTTGCATTTCCTTTTCTTTGTACAGCGTTCCCTCCTTTCGCACACATAATGAACCAAGTAATGTCTAGTATAATTGTTACCTCTCTTTTATTCAGATAATCAGAAAGACTGGCAATAACTTAAATCTTCGAACTAATTCTTTCTTCTCAAAGCATGTCTGTTTTTAGCCCCAAAAGTGTTGGGTTTTTTGCTCCAAAACATCTTCAGTGGTGTTTTGTTCTTTGAATTCTAGGCTTCAGTGTAGACTGGTGGGCGCTCGGTGTACTTATGTTTGAAATGATGGCGGGCCGGTCACCATTTGATATTGTTGGGAGTTCTGACAATCCTGATCAGAACACAGAAGATTACCTTTTCCAAGGTAAGTACCATGAGTGTTCCTACACTTCAGTGCTTTGTTTCTCCTTGCCTTTAATCTAATTTCAAAGATGCAAAGGCTGATACGAACTTTGTTTTCTTGCAGTAATTTTGGAAAAACAGATCCGAATTCCCCGATCCCTTTCTGTTAAAGCAGCAGGTGTTCTAAAGAGTTTCCTTAATAAGGTAACAGCTAAAGGGGACTGTTTAAGACTTCTCAAGAGCAGCTGTGGGGTTTTTTGGGGGGGTTTTTTGGTTGTTTGTTGTGTTGTTTGTTTTTTTTTTTTTTAAACCTGTTGACTAATCGATGTGTAGCAGACATACTTTATCTGCCATATACAGAAACAGGGTAGAAAAGGTGTGAGCCTAAAGCAGAATTTCAGTAGGGCTGGGGGGCCTATTCTAGATACTTGTCTTAAAATCTGAAGCTCCGGATTCTCAGGCTGGGATCATGAGTAAACTTCAAATTGAAAGGCAGAGAAATGCTCCAAGTGATTTCTTTAATGTGAGGAATTGGACAAACTTACCAGATTTATTTTGGTTCTTAAAGAGAAGCAGCTTAGCAAATCACTTTGACAACTTCCGATGACTTCATCGAGGGAAATCCAGAGGCAGTATACGCTCACTGTTTGCTGGTAGCTTACTAGCCTGAGAGTCAAAAGGTGCATATGTGGTAGTGGACTTGTCCGAGCACACGCTGGCGTTTATTTAGTGAGTGTTACATGAGTGAGGAGAAAGAGGTAAAGGAGAAAACAGATTTGGTTAAATTATACTAAGAAAGTAATACTGTTAAAGAACACTGCTTCTGTTACAACTCCTTGGTAGTGTGTGCATATGCATACATGGAGATGGAATTGTCTTGTTAAAATAACCTTTCTACCGTATTTATCAGTAATCTGCAGTTACTAACCCCAATGTGATTGCCTGGCATAGTCAGTCTGCTCAGGGAGGGGCAGGGGGGAAAGAATGAAATTCACTTGTAATCTAACCAAGTTTGCTCTGAAGCATATGGTATGTTTAAGTAGGTCTGAATAAAAATGAAAGATGGCATGGTTGTTTATATAAAATTCAGTTAAAGGCTTCCATATATTCATGCCTATTTCAGACAGTAAATTGGAACAGTTTCCAAAATAAATAATGCTAACTTAGTTCTTCAGTGTCCCTTGTAACTCAGGTGTTTCATTTCTCACAGAATTTGTAACATTTGTATTTTATTCATGTGTAGGCCATGGCACCCATTTAGAAATATTTTCTTCCTTGCACAGGATCCAAAGGAACGTTTAGGCTGCCATCCTCAAACAGGATTTGCAGATATCCAGGGACATCCATTCTTTCGCAATGTTGATTGGGATCTGGTATGTGAATGCCCACTGGCTTGGCTTATTTTCTTTGTATACGCTGATGGCTTGACAACTTGTTTTGTGCGTGAGAGATGACATAAAAACTTCAAAAACCTTAAGCTCTTAGCTTATGATGTACCATAATGATAATACAGAATCTTTTAACCCTTTTACACACAGTAAGTACAGTAGATTAATAGAATGATTGTAGAAAGTATACAAAAGAAACTTAATAGTAACTTCCAGCCTTGTTTAAAAATAATTCAATAGGTTGTAACTCATTCTTGGTGTCACTAAGTGCATTTATTCTTAGATGGAGCAAAAGCAAGTGGTGCCTCCATTTAAACCAAATATATCTGGAGAATTTGGTCTGGATAACTTTGATTCCCAATTCACCAATGAACCTGTGCAGCTCACTCCAGATGATGAGTAAGTAATGTAGAATTTAAGAAGTTCTGATAGTCAGTGAAGGAGTTATAAAACTTCATTTAATAGCTGTAGTTGTAGTACACAGAGTATACATAAAGCAGTAAATAACACTTTCTTGTGTTAGTTTGGAGAAAACTCTATTATGTGTCCTTATGGTAGACTTAGTATGGCTGGATTAAGTATTGTACTCTGGCATGATGTAAAAATCAATTAACAGTGGGAAAGTTGCTATAAAGATTCTTGGTTTGGGGAAAGATGAATAAGTGCTATTTTACAAGTTTTAGTGGTATCATCTGCAAGAAATGAACGTGTGAAGGAAAAGACCTGTTTTGTCAAGTGGTTTATTTTTGCATTACTTCAAGCCACGATATTTCTAGAATGTTGGATTTAGATTGAGTTTACCTTGGGTGTTCTGAACAAGAGAAGATGCTTTGCTTGGCTTGTTTGGGTATTTTAAATTGTTAGTAGTTAACTGAGATTATCCTGGCTGAAAAACCTTGATAAAATGCATGATAATACGTTTGATTTTGGTAGTAGATTTGAGGTTCCTTACTCCTGAAGGGGCCCTGATTTGGGATGAGGAGAGAAGGGCCTTTCTAGTTTGACTGAGCCACCGCTGTTCGCATTTTAGGAATTTTTCTAGGGTTTTGTGTAATGTTCATGTAGTGTGTAAACAAACAGTGAATATTAAATGTTACCTATGCACCTTAATTAGGTCTGAGATCCAACATCCTTCTTCATTCCTTTGTAAATGCATAATGTACAAATAAAGTTTAGAAAAGTTGCTGATGCAGGTGCAGTATCTGTCACCTCCTAATGTTTTCAGATTTTTACAAAACTGGCTGTTTTGGGAAAGTTTTAAAACTGCAAACCTTGCAGATTGCTTTGTAGGGAGAATATGTGCATGGGAGCAGCCCAATCACTACTCCTGGGTGGATTTGTGTTCTGTTAACCATTATAGGGGCTAGAAAACAACAGTGGTTACTGTAAGGATAGAGAGGGACAAAAGAGAGAGGGGAAATGTTTTCAATTGCAATCTGCTGTACAGGTCTAAATTTTAAAACAAACTATCAGTTAATATTGTTACCTTTTTATTTTTGCTGAACTAATGACTGTTTTTTAATCTTAATAGTGATATTGTGAAGAAGATTGACCAGTCTGAATTTGAAGGCTTTGAATATATAAATCCTCTTTTGATGTCAGCTGAGGAATGTGTCTGAATTCTCCATTTCTGGACTGTGCCAAATGTTACTCTGTTTGTTTCTGCATGGATAAACATCTCTTCACTTGGATGCACTTGCGTAAAATGAGTAACTGAACATCTTACCCTTGCTACCTAGTGCAAATTACTCACTACTTTTCTTTTTGTATTAACTGTTGTCCAGGACAGTTGTTCTGCTGAACCTTTGGCTGCCAGATTTAAAATGTTAAACTTTCCAACATTCTTGCCAAACTTGAATTTTAGTATAGAAGTTGGTCTTTGGGGCTCCTGACTGAACAATGGGGTCTGGCTGTATAATCTGCCAGTACGGCGCTCTGATAAAGGAAAGCTTTCTTACTGCTTTAAGAATACAAATTGCATTAGGGGATGCAATAAAATATCGTTAAAGGACTTCAATTTTTCCAGTAAGACAAGCAAGACCTTATGATTTCTGTAGTTCTAAATCTATTCTCTCTAAACATCTGATTTCCCTGTTCTCCTAGACTTAGAAATTAGAAATATGTTATTGCCCTTTCAGATTGAAATGACAGCAAGGAGAGCAAATTTTTAAACTGACTAGGTCAAGAACGGCTGCTTTCATGGGGTATATTGATCCTGTCCTAATTCAATAATTCACTTAATTAATTGAGTAATTCAATATCGGAATCAATAGACTTTGCTCTGAAATTATACATTAGGAATTGTACGCTGATACACAGAGTGCCTTTCTGAGCCTGTCCCTTTCAGTGAGGGTTGTACATGGTATAAAGTGTTAAATAAATGGAATTCAATTAATATTTTAAAAAGTTAAAATCTGTAGAGTGAAATTTAGCAGCAACGGGCAGCTAATATTGACGGGTGTAGAACCTCATACTATTATTTATTGCTTTTACACTTTCTGTCTTAAGTGTATCAGAACTGCAAACATTACAGCTATGGCCTAGATAAGGGCATTTGTTTCCTTTTTTAATCTTATTGCCATACTGTTGGAAATGCATTCCACTTTGCCAGTGGAAAAAGCACATCTGGAAAAAAAATAGGTGCTGTCCACAATGACTCCCTTAACTTCTCCACTTACAGATGGTGATTCATAATCACAATCAAACCTTAAGTGTTGGTGGTAGACTCAAAGTTAATAGTAAAGCAATTGGAATAAATTGAAAGAACGGTTCAAACTAGGACTTTCGGGAGGTGTGATTCTTACATTTCACGTTAGTAAACAGTGTAATATACAGCACAGATAATTCTTATTTTTAATGTTTAAGGAATAGTTTTGAATGTCTTAGGCTGAAGAAATGCCAAGTGTACCACTTTTTTTATTTTGGGGAAAAGGGATTAAGAGATGTTGAAGAAAAGAATCTGTACTATATAAGTAAGAGCTGTAAGGCAAGCTAAGTGTTACGGAAAGCAGATCTAAGTATCTGTAAGCACAAGTTAGCAAACCTTATCTGAAGCTTTTAGTAAGACTTCTGCTTGGTCAGTGTCTCTCCTTGAAAATCCTTGTATGGCGACACTGTAAATTCATAGCACAAATCTTCTGGTGTATGTTTTTTCACTTATGTGTTAGCTTCAAGGAGAGAGATTGCACAAACACACAGTAGTGTCATGGTGTGGCATCTAGTTCATATTTTTCTTTGCAACGTGAATAGGAAACTCTTAAGTATTGGGCCCAGTTTTCAAAACTGGGAAGTGATTGGAGGGGACTCGGTTTCAGGGAAGCATTGAATCTCCGTGCTGTTTAAAAATCAGGTTCCCTTAAATCCAAGTTGTATATTTTCAAATGTAAAATATTGGAGTAAACCTACTTTTAAAGAGCAGCTAATAACTTCAGCACGTTTAGTTCCTGTCAAGTGAACTGCTTACATGCAGTTTTAAAGTTGTGATTATTTAGCCTCTGACTTCTACGCCCGCATGACTAGTTTAGACATCAGGACTTAACTGATACTAAACTTGGAAGTTATTTAAAGCAAATAAGAAAAGCCTTGTCTCTACAGTGGCTTAATTTCATATGGGGTATTAAGTAAAATGGCTGTATGTAAGGAAGTGCATTTCTGCTATTCATCACAAAGAGTAATGGAGTAAAACAGTGTCTTTTGTGCTTAAAGCAAAAGTTAATTTTTTTATAGATAATGTCACAGAAGAGATACTCTTTCTATTTACGTATCTAACCATTAAGAATGTTGCTAAGTGACAAACATCTTAAATAACTGTAAATCCATTTTTAAACTTTTTCTCCAAAGTGCCATGATATTAACAGTTATTTTTCATTGTTAAGCATATAGCAACTGTCATAAATATTCAGAAGGGACATTGGGTGTAAACAATCCAGTGCAGTAGGCTTCGTCTTTTGGAGAAAGTGTCTACATCAGAAGCATGATGTATTTATGTGGAGTAACCTCCTTTTTGTGTACAAGTTGGATTCTTATGGGTGCTCTGCTAGTTAATATTGTCACTACTGTTACCCTGTTTCATATGGAATATGGTCTTGAACGTTATTGTGTAATCATTCCCTTGATTTGTGCACACTTTTTACTTTAAATAAAACATTTATATTGGGCCTCTGCCTGTTAACCTCTAAAACAAACACTGTGAAATGCTGGGCTTTGCTTGGGATTGTCATCTGACCCTGAAATATCCAGGTCCCACAGGAGCGTTGTTCTAATCTTATATTTTCTTCTAGAAGATAGCACTGCGATAGACCATAGCAACCTAAGAAATACCTCCCTCAGCCTGTGTTCCCCAAGCGTGACTTGGAATGCAGGTCCCTCTCCAACGCAGTTCGCCAGCCTTGCATTCATCGTGCCCTATGGAGAAAAAGCATCCTTGTAAGGCTCTTGTCTTTCGTTCCAACGCCGGTGATGAAACAAAAGTAAGTAGTGAGGCTTCAGTCAGCTGTGCAGATACAGAAAGCTTCAAACAAAATATAAAATGCAATTCTAGCTTTCTTGACCAAGGACCTCTTTCAGCTGGAACTTCTAAGACGTCATCTCAGCTGCCAGAGCTGGGGATTTGGAGTTTAGAGCAACACTCTCATCTGCTGCGCTTGATTCTGCATGGTTTCTTTCTTTGTTTCTTCAACTCCTCCCCCGCATTCTCTTAGATTTCTGATACGGAGGGCAAGGCCACTTACCTCACACCCTGCTACAGATGCAGTACTTTAATATATCTGTATTTCAATGTCCGTGTATATGTATTTTAAAAGAGAGATCCTTTTGCAATCTGGCTTGTTATTAAAAGTATGTATTGGCAGTCCTAGGCACACACTACAGATGGTTGCGTATCTTAAATGCTTAACCTCCCCCCATGCGCGCTTCTTGTTTCCGTTCAGTTTGGTGGCCAGCTGCTCTCGGCTCAGTCTGAGCAATTGTTTATGCTAAGACACTCTATAAAAGAAATGAATAGCTTGTATAATCTATATATACTTGATACTTGAACCGCTAAGCGTGAATCCTCACTTCATGATGGACGGCATAAGCAGTTTAAGCAAGAAAGGTATCTGAAATTGCCTATAGATTGATGATGTTTTCCTGGGAAGAGGGAGTTGGGGGTTGGAACCTCTTTCAGGAAAAGGGGATTTTACCCTATCTTGCATTTTCTTGAGAAGAGCTCAGTTAGGGTGTTGGGGTTTTTTTAAGACTTTTTTTTTCCTGCTTATGATAAAGGGATCTGAACTGCATATTTGAAATGTCCAATCTTACCGTTATGTATTTAATTACCAGTGATTAAAGGCAGAGAAGCGTCTACCTCCTGGATCTGTTTGGCTTTTGCGGGAGGTGGGCTTTTTCAGGCATAAATAGAACCAGAAATCTGTTGCGGCTGCGTTTGAGTTCTAACCTTGAACAAAGTGTCTGGGCTTATATCCCTCTTAACGTTGGGTCATGAAGCATCTAGCTGAACAGCTGAATTTTGACCATGAGTTCAGATGTAGAAACTAAGTCATAGTTCAAGTTCTTTATTAGCTGTAGTGTTTTGTACAGAACTGTTTCCAAAGTAACTTGTCCTGTAAGATGTGGTGCATGCTAAAATCTATCAACTTTCTGTGCTTATGATAAGATCTGTAATAGGGTATCTAATACGGTATCTTGTCTATGTTACTTAATCTGTCATAGGGGGTTTCACGAGAATGGTCTTAAGTATTAAAACTTACCATTAAAAATCGCCACTAAAATGATTTTTTTCTTCAAAATGCGCAAGCTAGTATCTTCAGAGAAAAAATGCACACTTTTTGTTCTCTGTTCAGTGTTAAATCGTGCTCTTTAGCATCTTTAGAGACTCTATATATGGAAACACTTTTTTAAAAAATACTTCTGTCTTTCTGTAGAAACCCCCTTGTTCATAAATATGCAACTTGAATCTTATGCACAAAACTGTGACAAAGTTCTTTACACACTTAGCAGTTTGACAAACAACTTTGTATGTTAACCAGCTCAATTGAAAGATCATTTTATTTTGTTTTAATATGGTACTGTTACTTCACTTTATATGCAGTAGTTCAAAGGATTTATTTTTATTTGCACTTAGAAATGCAGATTAGTTCGTCTCACTTGCCCCTCTTCCTAGTGTGCGAGTGGAAGAGGTATCGACCCCAGCAACTGTCAAAGATGGCCTGCAAGGAATTCAAAGGGGCATGTGTGTGGGGAGGATGGGACTTAGTCTTTTTTTAAACACCCTTTTTTTGCTTCATGGTATTTTGGAGGTCTGTATTTTTGAGTGTGTCCTGCTTGGTATTATCTTAGAAATGTATGAAAGAAAAATGGTATACTTTATAGGGAGCCTCTTGGTTTCCCGTATATTATTATATATCCCTCATTTTTTACTGTATCTGAAAAGGAAACTTTTGCAGTCACTCTTTAAATTGTAAAGTAAGAAATTATTTTTTAAATAATAACTTTTCTTCCTTAGAGCTCGCTTAGAGTAAAAACAAAAATTCTGTACAGGCTGCCTCAGTGTTAAACCTAAGGTGTTGAAACCAAGCAGTGAAGGTGCTACTTGTAAATTACATTTTTAAGACAACCTTAAATGTTAATTTTGTAAGCTTCCAAAGACCTTCAGCACTTCCTGAAAATTCAGAGGAGTTAATAATAAAAGAAAGATTCCTCCTATGCTCTTAGTGCGATTTATTACATCTTGCAAAGGTCTGTAACTCTGGTATTAGTTGCACAGTGTCTTT